TTAGATTCTGAGCGTAGCGGAGAGTGTATTCAATTTACAACACATGTACATGTACCGATGTACCTATATACAAGCAGTTTGAATACTCATTGATTTTTTTTTTATTGTGTGGAAATTTTTTTAACTTTCAATGATCATTTTTGGTTTTTGCCATGCCAAGCACAGTAGCCCTGCAGGCTGCAGTTATCCATTATTTTATCCTTATAACTTATATGTTTAACTACAGTTTCGGAGGAAATAGCACCTTTTAGTTTGTCATAAAAAATATCACAACATTTATTTACATTGTCGCTGTTATACAAATCTATTCATAGTTTAGACTTTAAAATATTTATCAAATTACTAAAGTTAATCGTTCCAGTTTATGTTTCTTTATACATTTACTAGGTTTTACTATAGGAATTGCAGTTGAGTAATGATCAGTAATATTTCTTTGGATTACTTTGGCTTCAAATTTATCTATTAGTTTATTATTTTTACCAAAAATATGGTCTTAACATGAACACTTAGAGTATAGAGTGGTCCTTGTGTATACATTTATATAATATGAAAAGCTACATATTGATAACATATTTAAATATTTATCATCGACTGAATTTGTATCCACAATATTTATGTTCAATGTTCATGTCACTTATAACTACTATAGAACTATTATCATATTTTTTATTTAATAATATATTCTTAAGTATAGGTTAGTATAGGCACGAATTCATAGCTATGTTCCACGTGTGTTAGACAAAGACAGAAAATCACCGCTTAAAATCCTCTTAACTGTATAAATATGAACATCCAGTGGTAATCAATGGTAATGATAGGACAGCAAAAGTAGAAATTAAACTTATCCTAGAAAACAATTGTTGCAGGATTTTAACAGTCAATAAAAAATGTAGTTATTTATTATTATTCCAAAATTGTGATACCAACTATCTGAAATGATAAAGAAAGTGCGTATTTTTAAGAGCTTACAATATATACATTTTTATTAATGAGGTTTTAACGTGTACATTATTATATAAATAGTTTATATTTTTATTTAGTTTTATTTTTTATTTTTGCATTATCTTTTCCTATTCCAATGAAATATGTATGATTTTTATGGAAGGACAAGCTCAGTAAAAATGATGTATTATAATACTTGGATATAGTTTTAGAGGAGAAATCAGTTTATTTTTAGATGCGATTTATGCTTAATATATTTAAGCCATACAGTATTATGATTGTAAAAATGAGAATGGTTACATTCATTTCAGTTACAATATTAATAAAAACATTTTTACGGGTATAATCTCTTTATAGAATTTCTACAATATATCTAAGTATATTATTACCCGAACGGCCGAACACAGCAATAGTTACATTATATGACTAATATATAAAATAATAGATAATAATAATTCTATTATTATAGAATATTATTATCCATAGAATTTCATCTCTATTGTATAATCATTAAATTATATTCATATATTCATAAATTGATTTTATTCGTTTAGTTCATGTTTCAAAAGCAATAATACGGAGTGTTTTAAATAAGTATAATCTGTTTGAAACGATTGCCCATTGCCATTAATAATTCATTTTTTCAAAAGATCTTAATCTTGTTTTTTTTTTTTATAAACCAATATTGTTATGTTAAAAAACTAGTTCAGCAAAAAACATTAAAAATCAAATAATCGTACGCTTTGAATTGCCATCTAGGTTAAGCTATAATATCGAAAATAAGATGTAATAGTTTGATAGTATATGATACCTCTAGGTATAAATATAGTGTCTGACCATAAAACCATTAGGTATGTGATTTTGTACATATTTTTTTTTTTTACGGAAAAACTGATTACAACATACAAGAATTTAGCAGTTAAACAAATTATAAAGTAAAAAGAAAAATTAATATCGACCGATATTAAATAATATGGGTTGAGCATTTGCAAATCAAGGAAATATACAATAATAATAGATAAAATAAAACATAATTTAATAGATGCACAAAATCCCCGAAATTCTTGTGTGATCCGCCAGAATATAGAAATCTATATAGATTGAAAACGAAGCTAAGAACACTACCCAAGTCAATAAAACAATATGTGTGCGAAATGCTGTGCCAATTGGGCAAGTGGTTCTGGAGATTAGAGAGTACAAACATTTTTTTTTTTATACAAAATAAAATAATTAGAATTTTCATTGAACATGTGTTTCAATTTCAAGCATCAACAAAAACGTAAAAACCCATAACTCTTATACAACAAAATTTAAGGATATAATATGTTATATGATACCGTGGTGTTAATAAAAATACATAGGTATAAGACGTAGGTAACTATAATGTGTTTTTTTTTAGTAAAACCTACATACGTAAACAATATAATAATATATTTCTTTAAGCAAATGTAATAAAATCATATAACTTAACTGAAAAAAGCATTAACATGAACTCTAAACATAGGGTCCCTATAAGTATATATATATATAATATATATTAGTATATTACAATATTAATAAAATATACAGGTTATATGCATTTTGTAATATGATAAATTTGTATTATCTAAGTAATATGAGTCTTGTGTACGTTATATGATCACAATTCAATCGTAAGTACCTAATAACAATTTTTATTTCTTAGTTTGATTATAAATTATAAACTGTATGTTTTAATAATGTCTAGTTTATAATATAGAGTGTACATCATATACATAATAGTATCAATATTTCTTTTGAGCCATTCAATATTTTGATAAGTGGGGGAAATGACAATTGTTTGGGGATAACCCCCCAATTGTTTCACTTATACGATTAAATTAATTATCATTGCTTATAAATAATTAAACATTAAATGATTCTATAAAAACCGTACAATATGATAATCAAATTTTAATAAATCTTTACAAAACAATCATTGACTTAATAAAGAAAATTAAATCACGGTGTATAGCTGTACTGATAAATAAAATGTAATACTATGTGGTAAACTCATATCTGTGAAAACTCGATATGGTGAAATAACACATTAATCTAAAAATTTTAAATTTACTGACTTATAATTTTGTACTATTGTGACAAAAGCAGCCAAGTGCCATAAGCGCAAATAGGGGGGTTAGGGACCAAGACCCCCCAAAAAAAATGTCCACAGCCCCTCAAACATTTCCTACATTTTGTTTTCAGCTTAATCAATATTATCAAAGTAATACTTTAGCCCATTTTGCGCCTATGCCAAGTACCAAGCCGATCTTGGGATTAAGAATAAAATGTGAAAAATACGGTCAACATTTTACTGTGTCAACAATTATATCTGAGAATTTATTAACGTATCAGCTGTAATTTCAGACACCATATTTCGACAACGTAAAATTTCGACCTTGTTCTTCACACATTTTGTTTAATCCCAAAGGCCAAAATTTATCTTTTGGATACTTAGGTATCAGCTTTTTCCACAATGGTACAAAACTGATGCTGATGAAAATCAGTCGAAACAGACAATATTATTGTTAAAAGTTTACATTATTTAAACTTGATCTTGTCGAACCTACCTAAAAAAAAATAATATACCTATCTATATTCATTTTTAAATCAGCAAACGAAATACGAAAATGTGAACTTAATCAGACCATACCCTCCATTTATGAATATTGTGCTAGAAATCTGATTCATAATGATAATCAAATTGTATACTACTTATTTTTGGATTTTGTTCATCATTAATGCATCTATTCACACTTTATTTTATTTATGCCATGTATTTTTAAAATGTTTACAAATTAAGTATAGAAAATTATTTACAATTTCTCTCATAAATTATTCCAGTAAAAAGAGGTCAAAAGCTTGATGATACGACGTAGATATAAGGTACTTTTTATTTTTTTCCGTACCCTTTAGTTTCCGAGAAACCGAGAAAAACGTCGTAATAACGATGAAGAAATATAACCAAGCCTTCAGAATCGTATATTTTTAGAATTCAACGACTTAATCATCATTACCTTCAAACATGAAGATAGATAATAATATACTATATACTCGCTCATGTGGCTCACTTAACTACATTATTGTTTATTAGCACTATTTGTGTAATCGTGTATAATATATAAAATATATAAAATAGATATATTCATGATATGTACCTGTAGCATTATTCATTTTGACCTAGCCCAATTAACTCAATAATGTTGATACAAAACTGAAAACATTATATTATACTATTTTGTTTTGTATATCGATCGACTAAGATTAAAAAAATAGTGTTGATCTCACTCGATCTATATGCACACAAAATAGTGTTTGACGTTGTTATATTATAAGTAATATAATGTTATTATTATATATTTTGAGATAAAATTAATGCAGAACAACCCGATACGGAACTTCATACCTTGAAAACTATTGTACATTTTTAATTAATAATTATTATACATCACCAAAATAACTAAACCTATGTACCTGACACCAATTAATTATTACCCATACATATTTGTTAGTATTGATAGGAAATAACACTATCCTGGAATATCTTTGTTTTCACCATATTAAATATTTAATCGTAAAACAAAATATTACATTACGCGTAAATGCAAATTTGTTTAATAAAAATAATGTAAAATATTCACTTATTGTATTATTTTATACGAAACACTTTTTTTGTGACAGTATAAGTTCTCCACGAGATTAAGAGAATAAATTATTCATATCTTACTTATAGCACAATGCTTATGTCACTTATTATTATCATGCATTAGCTTATATTTCAATTTGTAAGCATAATATAATAAGGTTTGGGCCACACGATATACAAGACAGTTGAAATTTCAATAACGCAAATGCTCTATAACAGCAGGAACATGTACTTTGTAAACTCAATTAAAACAGTATTTCTATACGTACACGTATCACGTATGAGTGTATATGAAAGCTTGATACATTTTACTAAGAAATTATAACTTAAGTTTTTGAAATTATAAGTGTTAGATTATAATTATTTTAAATATATAAATGTAGTTTTTAGTTACCTCTTCTTTTTCTCCAAGAGAATCGCCATTTTCGATTCGAAATCTTCTTCCTCCCGGATCTTGGCCAGATGCATCCAATTGGGGTAACTAAAATACAAATCATAACATTAAGATATTTAAAGAAATATGTTTTTACAATTTATATTAACTGTAATTAGGTAAGTAAAATTATATTTCAATATTTTTCAATATTCGTAGTATAATATAATAATTATCACACGAATATCCGGCACTAGGACGTGACATGTCTCTGGTTTTTCGATATTGTCGGGTTTTTTTATTTTCAATTGGAAATGTGATAATTTAATTTTTTCTCAAACATACAGAATTTACGACACGTAAAAATAAAAATCCCTGATAAATGCAGTGAAAGTAATTTTACACATTACGTAATGATAATAAAAAAATGATCTACGACCTTCTATACGAGTTGTATCCGTTAAAATGTTCAAGGACAAATTTTATGATTGCACTGTAGGTAATCAAAATTGATACTGACAGGGTGTATACTTTTAAGTGCCTTAAATGTTGTATTGAAACATATTATTATGTAATCAATCAATTTCAATTTTATTAAATAAGATGTTGTTGAAATTATATAATCGAACATCTTTAAAAATGTTTATTATGTAATTATGTTGTATGCAATTATTTTATTTTTAAACAATTTAATTAGCATTATTTTGTTTGGAAAACCAAATATCTGAAAAATATACTTTCATCTTGTTTTATTCAGTTTAATAACCGTGTTGTTCATGTTAGTGACACCAAACATAATCTGCTGGTGACAGATACCGTTGCATACCTAACATTCTTTTTAAATTGAGTAATTTCCAATGATGGTAGATTTTTTATGCAAAACGGAATTAAAATGTTTATCTAGATAATATAGATACATTACAAGATAACCATTCATATCTATATAATAGAAAAAAGGCAGATTATTTTTACACAATTTGAACCGGGAATTTAAAATATAATATAATTTTTCTATAAATATAATTATACTTAATAAATCTTATAATATTATAGTGTTATACCTATTATGATTTATTTCCTATAAATCCATAAAAATTTATTTACTTATACTAATTTCTCACTATAAATCTATAAGGTAAAATGACGCTATTGCCAACTCAGTTAAATATCTGATGGAGCAGTTCCCCTCTTGCCCCCCAGAGTAGTACTCCTACGATTTAGAGGCATAAAATATGTAAATTTAGACCCATTTTTTTTTTAGGTGCCCTACCTACTTAACTTTAGTTCTTTTAACATTTACAACATACATTAATACCAATTGTTTTAAGATTTTGAGTTTTATAATACCCAATTTAAAATATTAGTATGTATATAATATATTAATATATAATATATCTAAATATTTAATTTAACTGACCTTATATTTAAATATCTTTAAATGTGCATACTGCAGACATTAATAGGTATTTTTATACATGCCCATGTTTACTGCTGTCAGTTTGGTATTCTTATTATTCAGGTAGTTCCTTGTTATTTTAAGATTAATAAAAAGAAAAAAGAATAATATATATATCTGATGTCACACAATATTATCACCTATCTAGAATCTTTGTAATTTATCACAGATAACCGTTTTATTTAAATGGATGTAACAAAAGATATCTTAAATTATTTTTATCTAGATAATTTAAACAGATACATATTTTTTCTAAATGAATTATCAATAGGTAACGTTTAACACTGGATTGCAGTCATCTAGAAATTGATCTATGGGTAATAACTGTTATAGGCACTGAGAGTGGTACCTAAATGGTTGTAAAAACGCAAATTTGCAAGAATGTTTTTACTAAAATACAATATAATATTTATACTTAACTACTCAAATAAAAGTTATTAAAATAATACCACACTAAAACCTACTAAGTTCAAGGATACAATGACTTCTGTTATTGTCAGTAAAACGAATATACATAATATTATACTTCTTTATTTAAGTAAACTAATTAAATACGAATACTGAATAGTATACAAAACTTATTAAAAACTATGTGTTAATCCGGGCCTATAGATCCTGTATACAGTGGGTATAATATGTATCATCCATAAGCAACGATATCACATCATTTAATACTTTGTACGTACAAGTACAATGGTCTGTTGTATTTGTGTACAACAAAATGAAACACACTAGTACACCCTCATCATAACACATAATCGGTTCATATCATTTTATGATTTGGGTATCCGGTTACCTACCTATATTATACCTACTCCGATATATTATTGTGCATAATAGAATTTTTAAATTATATGGAAACAAGCATGGTACTTCCAAAATATATTTTTAGATATTATTATATATCAACAACGTAAATCGGAATGCCTACTGTTTGATTATAATATAATAAAAAAAATTATTGTGGGACATAAACGTAGAACGCTATTCGATATTTTCCACTTCGAATGAAATTTATGAATCATGAATAATATGTATTCATAAGCAATCATAATTGTATATTATATACTTAGTGAGAATTGGGTAGTTTTAATATTTTACTCGTTTCTATGGTGATATACAAAGAATTAGAAAACATCAGTTAGAAAAATAAAATATAAGCCTAAGAACATATGTTTAATATGTAAAAAAAATGAAAATAACGCATAATATATCATATTTGTATATAGAAATCAGCGGCTTTTGTTTCGTCGATAGAACAATTATTATTAACAAAAGGTTCTTACATATTATCATTTTAATATCAGTCCTTGTGTGATTGCGGCTGTCACCGGCATTTCATTTAAATCCTTTTACAGTAAACGCGATCAATCGAGCTTTCGTCTCTATACATACGATATCGCCATCATCGCCATTAGTCGAAAAATAGCATCCCGCATATACGTTACGAATTTTAGTGCCTCTTTCTTATAATACGAGTATAATGACACGGTTGGCATCATCTCCCCGGCGGCCGAGTACTTGACGACTGCTATATTATAAATTACAATATATATTTATGAATATTATAAGCATTTCCGAAATAAAAAATCAAAAAAAAAAAAAAAAATCGAAAACCAACGACGGGTGTGGAGGGGGATGCTGCTGTAGTGGGTCGGTTAACGACAGCTAGGATTAATCATGGAAGCAAATAATGATAATTATTTATCGTCCGCGTCGCCGTGCGCATAACCCCGTCAGGCAAGTTAATGACGTGACGGTAGCGACGCGAGCTCACGCTAATAGAGTGAATTCGGTATTGTCAAAGAAAAGGAAAGCGAAAAAAAATGAATTGAAATACGGTAGTGGTAACAATACGACCGAGCACAACGGTGGAGGAGCAATGGTGCATCGGTGGGGGTGTAGGGGTGTCTCCTTATCTCTGACACACGCCGCCGACTTCGATCGATAACCCCTTTACTCGATTTTGATATAGCATCCACACCCCCACCTACATTTGAACATTCATCAGAATTCAGAAAATATTCCAACACATAATATTATTATGTTATAATAATATAATCAATTGTCGGTCAGATAAAATCTCTGTCACCAAAATAATACGATATTTAAATATATGTATATAAACACACACACCTCCTGTGTGTATATTTCCGGTGAACACGTCATCATCACCATGACCTAAATAACTAAACACACTTTATGTACGATGAATATTACAAGTTGCGGTTGTCTATAATCTATATACATGCAGACCATATAGTACTAGTATATATATACTATCTTAACAACTAATATGTGATCGGTTACAGTAGTGTTGTACTAATTACAACAAGTGAGTAGACGTTTACAACTGTTTATAATATGTGTAACATAATACCTTACAAACAACATATTGTATTGAATCCTAACTAGTACACGAATGACTACGTTTTACATTTTGAACAGACCACACTTTTCAATCGTTTATTGAATATAGAGATAAGGTAATGTCACTTCAATATTCAAATTTATAAACATAATAGGATTTTCATTATGTTTTAACATGATATGATATAATAAAATATATAATATTATGAATTTATAAAGAGGTGATGAATAACTTGTCTCCGTAAAATATTTTTAATCTTTTAAAATAATGAAAAATGAAATGAGATTAGGTGGATTCCAATTATTTTTTAAGAAATGTGTTGAAAAAATTAAACTTTAATAATCCGAAAAGTGTAATTATTTATAATTTTTAAACATAATACGACGACAATTTTTATCTTGATAAATTAATAATTTAATGTTGAGGAAGGATAACCTAAAACCAAAATAATCCAGATGAATGTATTCTATTATTTTTTCAAAATTCAGTGATTTTTTTAGAATTGTATAATTTATTTTACGGTATTTTGTAGGTACCTCACAAAGTTCCTATGTTTAATCGTAAACGTTTGTAAACATAATATTTTATGTTTTTCTCTTCAGAGTTTTTAAATTATAGAAAATGTTGGGTGTCCAAATATAAAATCCGGAACTAGTGGTTCATTATTTATAATAATCATTTAAAATTTAAATGTAAGGAGTGGTGAGATAGCTACTTTGTTTACCTAAACTTGAAAACTCATATATAGTTGATCAATATTTGATGGTAATTATTAATTAACATTTTAAGAAGTGTTCTTTGATTTATAAAAATTTAACTATAGCGTGTTGCTATTAAAATTAAATCTAAATAAAACAATTTCTATTTAAAAACATTTGATAATAATATAATACATCAAATTATAAAAACAAACATAAAACTAAAAAAAAATAGATACAAATAATAAAATGGCGATCAGCCAGTTCTGTATTTATGAATATATTTTAGGGGATAAAAGTGGACGAAGAGTGTAATGATAGTTCCTCCGTAGTGAAATTAAATTGTTATAAATTTTGTTTGCTCGTAATAGCATTTGCATTTTTCTGCTGATGTTATTGATTTTTTTCCTGTCTTTTATTTCGAACGATTACGCATGTAAATTAATGGATATAAAATCGTGTGGACCAGAACATGTCTAGGCTTATAAAAAAAAGAAACAGTGGAATTTAACGACCATATAGGTTTATGTTGTATTACCAAAAAATCATACGCGTATGAAAGCGAAAACAGACAGTTAAATTA